ATCTGCCTCCCCCACCCACCCAGCTGACTGGGACTGTGGGATCAAATCACTCCCCATCACTCCCCCCTCAGCTGACTGGGGCTGTGGAATGAAATCCCCCCCACCCACCCCCAATCCAGGAGAGCACTAAACAACTGTAGGCGCTGCCTCTGCCTGAAGAAGGATGTTTGTATCCAAAAGCTTACAAAGAAGAATTTTTCCAACTATTTTAGTTGGTCTAAATAAAAGATTTACCCAAAGAACCTTGTCTGCCTATGTCCTTAGACCAACATGGCTACAACCATCACCCCTAAAACATCAGATGCCAAGAATATCCCACAAACTTGTCTGTGGGATGCTATCAATAAATTGGCCTTAGAACCTAGGCTTTAAAAAAAACCCAAAAATTCAAACAAACATAAAAAGCTAATCCAAGTATCCACATCACAAGACCACATGATGTAAGGGACTTGAATTCCCTGGGATATTGGCTGGGAGCATGACTAAGCAGTGCACAGGCTGTCCAGCAAGCTTCTGGGGAACAGTAGTATTGGAGTGACATTATAGTCTAACAACTTTCTCTCCAGATGATGGAGAAGCCAACTAAGGGAAGAAGTTGCTGCTCCCCAATAGAGAGAATCTGAAGGTAGAAGGCAGCGCGGGAGACAGGATTCCATAAGAAGCAAGTCTAAAGAGAGAGAAAGAAGTCCATGACAGCTAGGTGTAGCTTAGAAAGACCACATGAAGAGCACAAGAACAAACTATCCCAATGCTAAGGAAGGATAGGAGGGGTAGCAAAAGACCTACCAGGCTAAGCAGCAGGGTTTTTTTCATGAACTGAAACTCGAACAGGAATTTACAACAAGTAGAAACTTGACCAAATTACAGGGGTGGGTAAAGAACGGGTATGCAGGGAGAAAAATCAGGAAGGACAAAGCACAAATGGAGATGCAGTTAGTAAGGGATATAAAAGAAAACAAAAAAGCATTCTACAAAGTATGTTAGAAGTAAGAGGAAGACCAAGGAAAATATAGGTCCCTTAGTGAACAAAAAGGGCAATCTAACAATAGAGGCTGTGGAGAAAGCTGCTATATTGATGACCCAAAAATCAATCAAATAAAACTCAGTGGTCATGTCTATGTGTGCAATTAATGCAAAGCAATAAACCTTAGAGCTTATTGCTCCACAGTTTATTGCTCATGGGCATGCCATGCCATTTGAATGTGCACCCAGGACCACAGCAGTTGAGCTGGGTCTGAGCATCCCTGGATAGCAGGGGGCCCTGGAGGTCAGCCTGTCAGCCTGGGGCTGCTCCCCCCTGGCTCAAAATGCTGCAGAGGGGCTGGCTGGGCACAAGGATGCTCCAGTGCAGGGCTAGCTGGCAGGCAACCCCTGCACTGAAGCACCCTTATGCCCCAGCCAGCCCAATTGCCCTGCATGTGTAGATGCCAAGATGTCTACAGTACAGCTAATTAGTCTGCTCTGCTGTAAACATCTCATGTAGATGCTCCCGTAAAGACAAAAGCAAAGTCCTGCACTTGAGGCAGAACAATCATATGAGCAAATACAGATTGGGAAATGACTGCCTCAGCTGCAGTACTACTGAAAAGGACCTGGGGGTCAGAGACATAACAAACTCCTACAGCACCCTGGGCAGAGTACCAACCACTTGGGAGCGGAGGTGTGGGGCAGGAGGGAGAGGGATTACCTACTCCAGCTCTCGCCACACTCTGGCTGCAGCGGCTGCAGCTTTTAAACAGGATCATCACACACAGGGGGGACACCTGCAGCGGCATAATTGAAGTGAGGCAAGTAGGTCACCAGTCCCCATCTGAGAACTTAGAAGGGTTGTCAATATGCCCACCCACATCCACCCCAGAGTCTTTTCTACAGCAGGTACAGCCCAGAGCCACCCAGCCTTAAAAGTTGGGTAGCCCTTTGCCCAGTGGTGTATAGGAGGGAAAAGGTCTAATGCAGTGGTTCTCAACATTTTTAGACTTGAGGCCCCCCTGGGCAGACTTGAGACACTCCTTGGAAAATGCCAGCTCTTAGTTTTCACTCTTCTGTTACCTACAGAAAAATAGTAGCGCAATATTTCTGTTGCAAAGAACTCAGAAAACCACAGCTATGGATTTCTATTTGATATCTCTGGGTTTAATCGTCACCCAGTACCATATTTGGAGTGGTGGAGACATAGAGGGCACCAGGGGCAGCCCCACACACATGAACACTGCGCGCGCCCCGGAGGCTGGGGGGGGCACGGTGACTGCCCACAGGCAGTGGTGGCAGTGGGGGTGTGACGGCAGTGAGTGGGGAGCTCCTGCAGGCAGCCGTGGAGGTGTCGGCAGCAGGTGGAGGGGGGTGGCAAGCAGTGACCGCCCCTTTTTGCAGGGGGTACACTGCCAATCTCCTACACATTGCCAATGCCCACACAAGAGGGCTGCTGCAGCCTACATGCAGTGAGCCTGCACCTCAGCTGCATCATCTGGGCAAGGAAATACCCCTCCTACAGCAAAAATTCCATCATGGCCAGACAGTTCAGCTCCCTCTCTCCTCATATATTGCTGAGCAAAGGCCTGCCCAGGTTCTATAGATCCAATCTCTTTTGTGAACCAAATCCAAATCTCTTTTGTGGATCAGATTTGGCCCATGTGCTGTAGGTTGCACCCCCTGGGTTAGGGATTACTTAGAGAAGTTAGATATTTTTACGATGGGAGGCCAGATGAGATAATTTCTAGAGTACTAAAGGAATTGGCTGTGGTAACTGCAGAGCCACTGGCTAGTAAATTTGAGAACTCATGGAGGTTGAGTGAGGTT